ACCGAGGACTGAGCCCTGGGGAACCCCATACTTAAGAGCATGATCTGAGGACTTAAGCCCTTTAATAAAAACAGATTGGTAACGATTTGACAGGTACGTCAGCTACGATTTGACGATATGTCAGCTACAATTTCGACATTTCTAAAATTAGCACACCCAAAGTTTCTCGCCAAATCTCCCCAAGATATCTCGATCAGCTAAGGACAGATGGAGACAGCTTTTTCTTTCTTCTCTTGAAAGCCTGTACAAAAAACCCAGAAACAAAACAATGGAGAGTGTCACCCGTGTGCAAGTTGCGCACGTTAAAGATCCCTTGGTGGTCTAAAATCGATAAGAGTAGGCTTCCGCCGCCACCCGGGCAAAATTCAAAAATTCCTTCCAACTAAAAAGTATTAGGTGTGTCCCGCGCGCTCATATGACCTTATGCAGTTGCAAACGCCGTAAAACACTTACCAATTTAAAAAAAAGAAAAAAAAGGATAGTGTCAGAATGGTAGAGAATGTTCCCGGGCTCATTCTAAAATATGACTTAAAGCACTTTTTGTCTCCCTTTAAGTCAAGAAACAGGTGATGGAATTCTCCGCATGTTTCTCTTTTGGTATTAAAGTATGAACCCAGTGTTCTCTCTCGCCATCAAATACAAGAGACTGTGTCAATACTGATCAAGTGTCCATCAAATGCATCAAACATATTTACGGACTGTCATGTTATTGTCCTGAATTGTCTCCGATACAAGCAGCGACCTAGCAGAGAGAGCTGGTACACACTGCTTTTATACTGCTTTTGGTGACAACTTGTAAGCTGATACTGAGCAGTGCACGAGCAGCCAGCTTGCCAAAAGAGCTGTTGGTGAGGACACTCGAGCCTACTGCTAGAACTGCTCATAGTGGCTTGGCTCAGCTACTGCGCAGCTACAGCTTTTGGTGCAGACAAACCCTTAGGCTGAGGCCACGATACGAGCGACAGACAGTAATCGATAAGCGAGAGAATACGCTAGCTATGAGCGATACATTTTGGGACGGCCATGATCTGAGCGATAGCTCTAGCTAGCGAGACGCAAGCGTTCAGCGGTAAAGCTGGGTGGGTGGTCATGATATGAGCTGATTTTCTGAAGCCTGAAGCAGCGGCAAGCTAGCTTGAAGTAGCTTGTAGATGTATTTATACGTGTGTCAGAGGCAAAGATGGCGGCTCACATTGTGTTTGGATGTCTTGAGACTTCAAGATATTTCAGACTTAAACTTGTGTTGGGCGGCAAAAGGAAATATCCAGTACACTCCATCAATGCTAACTAAAAGGGAAGAATTTGGAGAATACAACCATTTGCTAAGTGATTTAAAAAATGATGTGGAAAGATTTCGGTCATACAACAGAATGTATCCACAGACATTTTCTACAATTTTGGATCTTGTCAGGGATGACCTGCAAAAAGAGTACCGAAAACCAATTTCACCTCTGGTTCAAACTTTTTCAATTACAAAAGCTTT